CCACAGACAAGCTGTGTGACCCGGGACAGATTATTAACCTCCCTGAGCCTCTGTGTTTGCATCTGTAAAACGGGGGTGAAAGAGCACCTGCTGAACAGGTGCTAGCACGTTCCCCAACTATCCGCAGCTGGCTGTTGATACTGTCATCCTGTAACATTCACCCATGGCTTCCAGTCCTGGGCTTGCTACCCACTGTGTGAGCTGGGGCAGGGGTCTCTCTCTCTTTCTGGGCCTCAGTTTCTCCATTTGTACGACCAGCATGTTGGCAGTGATGGTCCAAGTCACCAGACACGGGGCACCCGTGGAGCACAAGGGAGGCAGGGACTTGCTTCCTCTTTCCAGTCTGTATCAAGAAAGCCACATGGGGCCCTAACCGGTTTGGCTCTGTGGACAGAGCGTCGGCCTGGGGACTGAAAGATCCCCGGTTCGATTCCGGTCAAGGGCATGTACCTTGGTTGCGAGCACATCCCCAGAAGGAGGTGTGCAGGAGGCAGCTGGTCGATGATTCTCTCTCATCGATGTTTCTAACTCTCTATCCCTCTCCCTTCCTCTGTAAAAAATCAATAAAATGTATTTTTTTAAAAAGAAAATGTCTCCATTAAAAAAAAAAGAAAAAGCCACATGGACTTCTGAGAGTTGCATCTTGGAATTGTCCCTAAGTCCTAAGCTGGACGAGCCACGGCTGGGCCGCTGTGAGGATAGGGTGTTCCTCAGGCCGCCTTTGACAACACTGTTCGCTGGTGGGCAGGCTCTGGCTCTGTGCTGTGAGGAGAGGACCCCACCCTCTGCGCTGCCAGGGAGGCCCTGAGCGCTTCTAGGGGGCTGTGCAGAGCCCCCTCCACCGACACAGGCCCTCCTCCAGGCTCAGGGCCAGCCACCGCCCTCCCCCAAGCAGGCAAGGAGGGGCTTTACGCAGAGCAGATTCCAGCCTGCACCTCTTAGCCTCAGTTTCCCCGTCTTTATGACGGGAAATGATTACATCTATTCACCGGGGTTTGTGAGGGCTCAGAGAATTCGTGGGCAAACAGGACAGGAAGGGTGGGTATTTAATGGATGTTGATCCCACATTCTGTATACCATCCGCCCTCAGTTTCCCCACGTAGTGCTTCGCCTGTGGAGGGGAGAAGTGTGGGGGGGACCTGCCAGGTAAGCCAGGGGTGTGGGGGGGCGTGTCTTGGTGGGCCCGGCAGCTGAGGCCGGTGGCTGGGCCGCAGGCAACACACAATAGCAGCCATTGTCTGGGCGCAGCCGGCTGGGAGGGTGCGGTGGGGCGGGGGAGGGGCGGGCCCGAGGGCCAGCGTGGCCCACCCCCAGATGACCCCTGCCCGCCCCCACCACTTCGGTGGTCCCCACACCGCCCCACGTCCCTCAGCTCCCTCCGCTCTAATTAGTTCCTTTCGCGGCTGGAGCTGCTGTGCAGCACCCGGCAGGCAGGCAGGCAGGCAGGCAGCGTGACCACCTCTGCGTCGCCTCCCGCCCAGCATCCCGCCCCCACGGAGCCCCACACCCCGCACCAGCAGAGCCCAGTCCCATCTTCAGGCCAGGTTCCCAGGGGACTCCATGCCGCACCCACGGGGTGCGTACCGAGTGCCCCAGCCTGGTTAAGAAACTTGCCTGCACCCTCAGAGCAAGACGGCTGCCCCCCCACCCCACCCCAGCACCTCCGTCCTCCCCACCTCCCCGCTGTCTGTCGAGAGCATTAAGTCGGTGACGGCTGGCTGGCCTCTCTGGTTATCACAGCACCGGTCCCAGGGTTTCAGCCTCCCGAGAGCGTAACTGGCCCTCACCCGCCCCCCTCACCCAGCCCAGGAACAAAGAGCAGAGCTGGAGCCCAGAACTGGCCGCTGGCGGGTGGCTGGGGGATGGGGGTGAAAGAGGACACTGAGGTTGGCCAAGGAGTGGGTCACTGGCGTCTTCCCCATGGAGTGGGGCCCCCATTGCGAGGGAAATGGGGGTGAGGCCAGCCTGGAGATGGGGTTGCTGGGACTGTGGGCTTTGGGGCGGCACCTTCCTCCTTTTCCAGGGCCTCCAGGCTGGGCTCTGGCTCCCGTCGGAATGAAACCCAGGGCAAAACCCAAGGGCAGTAGCGGGGGCCAGGGGTACCCCCTCCCGCCTTGGGCCCCACCCTGGGGGACAGGGTCCTTTTTGGGCCCTCCCTGGTTCTGGACTGAGGCAGTATCTCCTTCAGGTCTGCAGAACCAGGTGGCCCGGGCCGGGCCTCGGGCTCCTCCTGGTCCCCGCTGGGCTGGGAGGGGGGCAGTGGGGCTGGTGCCAAAGGATGTTGCTTGGACGACGACACCAGTGAGCGTCAGTGTCACTTTGAATTCTCGCTTCCGAACGATTCTGCCGTCCTGGTCGGTCCCCCTCTGCCAGGCTGGGTGGGGATTGGGGGTGGGACGTGGAGGCACTGGGGAGGCCTGTGGCCCCGGGCCAGCCGAGGACCAGGCCACCAGCCCTTCCTGGCTCCTGAATTCTTAATCAGCATAAATATTTACTTCCTTCCTCTCTTTCCAGGCTCCTAACACAGAGGAGCTTCAGGGAGGTTGGAAGGGGCCTGTGTCTAAAAATAAACAGGTGGAGGGACAGGCAGACACACAGACAAACTGACATGACCAGGGGGTGGGTTAGGCAGAGGGCAGCTCCTCCGCCACCCAGGAGGAGAGCGGAGGGGCCCATGGCTGCCCGTCACTGTCACTCACCTGCCCGCCTGGAACGGGGGCTCCCGGAGGGCAGGGAGGCAGTCTGGTCCCAGTCCCCCTTGCGTGGCTGGGAGCTCCTGGCCCACGTGTGGCCTGGGGGGCAAATCCAAACAGACCTGCTGGCTCTTACCTGTTGGAGTTTAACAGGAACAAGTCAAACCACAGACCTGGTCCCATGGCCACGTGCAGCCAGCTGTGCTCTGACAATACAATCCCTTCCCTAGGCTTAGAGTGGGCCTTTGTACGTGTCCCCAGAAGCTGAGGGTCCTGAGTTCTCTGCATGCTTGGAGGGTCTTAGCAAAAGTGGAGCTTGGCCTAGCCCTGGCCGGTGCTGCTAAGTGCTTAGAGGGTCAGCCCGCTCACTGAAGGGTCTTGGGTTCGATTCCCAGTCAAGGGTATCTAACTGGGTTGCAGGTCCAATTCCGAATGGGCGTGTGTAGGAGGCAACCAATCGATGTGTCTCTCTCACATTAACGTTTCTCTCCCCTTCCACTGCTCTCCCTTCCTTCCACTCTATAAAAATCAACAGGAAGCCCTGGCTGCTTTGGCTCAGTGGATAGAGTGTCGGCCTGTGGACTGAAGGGTCCCAGGTTCAGTTCCCGTCAGGGCACATGCCCGGGTTGTGGGCTCCATCCCCAGTGCAGGGTGTGCAGAAGGCAGCCAGTCGGTGATTTTCTCTCATTATTGATGTTTCTATCTCTCTCTGTCCCTTCCTCTCCAAAATCAATAAAAGTGTGTGTGTGTGTGTGTATGTGTGTGTGTGTGTATATATATATATATATATATATATTTTTTTTTTAAATCAATGGGAAAAAAATATCCTTGGGTGAGGATTAACAACAACAAAAAAGTGGAGCTTGTCCTAGGAAACAGGTGAGCCAGGGCTTGGAGCTAGGTGAAGACTGGTTACAGTTGCTGAGGGGCCTGACCTGGAGAACACGAATGGGGATGTGGGGGCTGCCCCCCGCCCCCCCGCCGCCCCCGTCCTGCTCCGCGGAGAGAGCACCACACAGCTCTTCGTAGGCATCTGTAGGCAACACTGGCCCCCAAGGAGACACACCAAACAAAACAGGCAAAGGCTCTTACCACATGGTGCTTATGGGATTATTCTGTATTAAATTGTGAAAACCTGGATTCAGTGAATGGCAGGGATATAGTACCCGTGTTTCCCCGAAAATAAGACCTAGCGCATGGAAAGATAAGACATCCCCTGAAAATAAAACCTAGCGCAACTTTGGGAGAAAAAATTAATATAAGACGCTGTCTTATTTTCGGGGAAACAGGTATCTCAGTGTTGGCTTGTTTAGCAGATAGATTTTCAGAAAGTAGTCATCTCAATGAACAAATGCAAAGAAACACTGTGACTGTTTCCCCACGTGTGAGAAGATTGCCTCTGTAAGAAGTTTTAATTTGGAATGAAGAGTAGACCTTGCTTTTGGGTCATTTTATGTGAAGAAAATTATATCACTGAGACATTCTAAGAAAATGTTGAAAATTCCAGCATGAGAACTCATAATAAAAGAATGTCATCACACACACAAAAAAAGATATATGCATATATTTTACTAGGCACCAGAGCTGGTCCACTTCCTTCCAACCCTGCCCCTGGCTGGCCTGGCTGGGCCACAGCCCCCATCTGCCCCCTAGTGGCGGCAGAGCCCTCTGGCTCCCTGTGCCTATGGGCACCTCTTCTATCTCCTGTGAGGCAGTGCCACCTGTCTGCACCCCCATCCCTTGGGGCCAGGCTTTGCTGAGCCATCTCTCAGCTTGTTCCCTCAGGGGTGACCACAGATCCCAACGGGCCCGGCACCATGGGTCCTCGGCAGTCAGTAGCTGTGGACCTCTCATGGCCACCTTGGAGAACACCTCAGGCCTGGTGTTTGGTCTTTTGGCTCAAACCAGGCATGTGCTTCAGGCATGACTTGCCACTCAGTCAGAAACGACCTTTGGGACTTGGCTGGTTATTTCTTGGGAGATCTGACCTTGAATATGGTAGCTCTACCACTTCCTAGCTCTGTGACCTGAGGCAGGGTCTCTAAAACTCAGTTTTATGGCAAAACAGACTCTTGGAGCTTTGCCTACCAGAAAAGACTTGTGGGAAGTGGACATGGAAGATCTGAGTAGATAGTCGGCTCTCTTTATGATACCTGCTGGCCAGACCACTCAGCTTTCCCTGCCTGGGGAGAGAGCCTTCACACACCTCCACACACACACTGCCTCCCTGTCCTGAGGGCTTTAATGAGTGGAGCCCAAGGAGGACTTGGGAGCACAGTGTCACAGCAAGCTCCTGCCCTCCCCTAGGTTCCTGCCTGAATACCAGCTTGCCATCCAGCCCCAGCCCCCATCACTATGCACTCCTTGGACGAGCCGCTTGACCTGAAGCTGAGCATCACCAAGCTCCGGGCGGCGAGAGAGAAGCGGGAGAGGACGCTGAGTGTGGTCCGGCACCGAGCTCTGCGCAGGGAGCTTGGCCTGGTGGATGACAGCCCCGCTCCATGCTCCCCGGGCTCCCCGCCCTCAGGTACTGCACGGGTCAGGGCCATGGTCTCTGGGCCTGATGGAGCTGGGGCAACAGAAAGAATGTCCACGGTGTGCCCACCAGGGCGCAACTGCAGCCCCTCACAGCTCCTGGCTTAGAGTGCTCCCCACACTCTGCCATTCATCCGTCCAGCAGTTTATCTTGGGAGGTCACATTGTCCCCACGAGGAAGGAAGTTCCCTGCCTAGTTTACCAAGCTGGGACAGCAGTCAGGATTCAGGTGGAGGTCTCTGGGAGGAGTTGGAGTAGCTGATAGTGGGAAGCAGAGTTTCTATGTGGTAATAAAAGGCCCTGAGACCCAACTCCCGGGCTTGGAGGCAGTGTGGGTGGCCAGCGGGTCAGTAGAGATGGGCACCTCATCCAGCAAGTTCCTTAGGATGCTTCGGGCCCAGGCCTTCTGCTCTGCCTCTGGTGCTCCTGAAAAGCACACCTGCCCCTTCTGAGCTGTCCTAGCACAAACCTCTCCTTTTAGAGGGAGCACTGAGGCAGACGGGTGATGGGAAGCTCCGAGCTTCACATTCCTAGTCAGTTGCTCACCCTGCGTACCAGATCATTCTAGCTGCAAAATGGATACTTCCCACTTTTCATGTCAGCTGATGGCCGAGCTATCATGATGGCCAAGATCACATTTGTCAGGTAGATGGGCTGTTGCTCAGACACCTGGGGTCCCAGGTGATCAGGGTGTGGCATGCCTGGGGTTTGCTTCCAGGGCCGTGGCTTAGGATTCGGAGGCGGGAGGGCCTAGCCCACCAGGACTCCTGGCTCCAGCACCCCTGAATTGTGCTTCTCTTTTAGGCTTCCTACTGAACCCCAAGTTCCCTGAGAAGGTGGAGGGACGCTTTTCAGCGGCCCCGCTGGTAGACCTCAGCTTGTCACCATCATCGGGACTGGACTCCCCCAACGGCAGCAGCTCGCTGTCCCCCGAGCGCCAGGGCAACGGTGACCTGCCCACAGTCCCTACCGCCCCGGTAAGGAAGAGGGGTGGGTTTTGAACTACAACACTCCAATCTCTGTCTGTGGTCACAGGACTCTTTCCCTCTGTGTGTCTCTATCCAAATCTCCTTCTTCCTTTTATGAAGACTGGTCACTGGATTTAGGAACCCCTCTTCCCACCCTGTCTAGACCACACTGCTAACTTGATCACGTCTACAAAGGTCTTATTTTCAAATGAGGTCACACACACAGGTACCGGGGGTTAGGACTAGGGCATATTGTGGGGACAACTGGTACTGGGGGTTAGGACTAGGGCATATTGTGGGGACAGCTGGTCCCGGGGGTTAGGACCAGGGCATATCGTGGGGACAACTGGTACTGGGGGTTAGGACCAGGGCATATTGTGGGGACAACTGGTACTGGGGGTTAGGACCAGGGCATATTGTGGGGACAACTGGTACTGGGGGTTAGGACCAGGGCATATTGTGGGGACAACTGGTACCGGGGGTTAGGACCAGGGCATATTGTGGGGACAACTGGTACTGGGGGTTAGGACTAGGGCATATTGTGGGGACAGCTGGTCCCGGGGGTTAGGACCAGGGCATATCGTGGGGACAACTGGTACTGGGGGTTAGGACCAGGGCATATTGTGGGGACAACTGGTACTGGGGGTTAGGACCAGGGCATATTGTGGGGACAACTGGTACTGGGGGTTAGGACCAGGGCATATTGTGGGGACAACTGGTACTGGGGGTTAGGACCAGGGCATATTGTGGGGACAACTGGTCCCGGGGGTTAGGACCAGGGCATATTGTGGGGACAGCTCACCTTGCTGAAGGAGACAGAGGGGGTCTGGGCCTGCTGGCCCCGTGGGGTACTGACCACTCTGCCCCACACCCTCTCCTCCCAGGATTTCCAGCCGCTGCGCTACCTGGACAGTGTCCCCAGCTCCTTCCAGTTCTTCCTGCCTCTGGGCTCGGGGGGAGCCCTGCATCTGCCTGCTTCCTCCTTCCTCACCCCCACAAAGGACAAGTGCCTCTCACCGGAGCTACCCCTCCACAAGCAGCTGGTCTGTCGTTGGGCCAAGGTGAGTGGGGGCCGGGAAGAGGGGGGCAGGGCCTGGGGCCGGTGGCCTCACACGGGCTCAGAACCCTCCCTGGCCCCGCAGTGTAACCAGCTCTTCGAGCTCCTGCAAGACTTGGTGGACCATGTTAACGATTACCACGTCAAGCCAGAGAAGGATGCGGGGTACTGCTGCCACTGGGAAGGCTGTGCCCGTCACGGCCGAGGCTTCAATGCCAGGTGAGGAAGGGCGAGAGCTGGCAGGAGGGAGGGGGCCCGGGTGTCCATTGAGCTGAGCCGTGCTCTATGCCCTCTCTGGAGCAGGTACAAGATGCTCATCCATATCCGCACACACACCAACGAGAAGCCGCACCGCTGCCCCACCTGTAGCAAGAGCTTCTCCCGCCTGGAGAACCTGAAAATCCACAACCGGTCACACACAGGTGAGAGGGGGTGCTGGAGGGTAGCAGCCGGGCAGGCATCTGACCATCCGTGGGCACCTGAGAGACAGGGATGCATCCCATTGTTGACTGGTCCGCTTGCTCGGGGAGGCCTCCATAAACCGAGCACAGAGAGGTCTTCCCGCCACACTCGGCATTGTTGTTTGTAAGATTATTGGACTCACACCACCTGTGATTGCACTCAGTATGTCTGTTTTGCTCCTCACCATAACCCAGCACACGGTAGGGCCAGCACTGGCCAACAGACCCACACACCTGATTTTAAATTTCCTAATCGCTGCGTTAAATTACAAAGAAATAGGTGAAATGAACTATAATCATATATTTTCTGGAACCCAATTATGTCCAAAGAATTATTTCAAAATCAAAAACATCTAGGAGACATTGAAAACCTTCATTTCATTTGAAGTCTGCAGAACCTGGTCTGTGCCTTACACTCACAGCTCATCTCCATTTGGAGTGGCCACGCTTCAAAGGCCCAGAGCCCCACGTGGCTCCACCCTGGTCAGTGAGGGAGCAGACGTTTATAAATCTGGAGCCATTCTGCTGAGTAAAGGCTGCATAGAAGGCAGCCGGCATTCGTGCAGTGCTCACTGTGGGCCTGCCGCTAGTAGGGGCTTTATGGAAGACTGTAATTAGGCCGTGGTTCTCCTATTGTCATGGCTGCTGTCACCTGCTGTTTGAAGCACAGCACCAAGGCCCCGGGCACACAGTCAGTGCACAGGGGTCCTGAGGGTAACCAGGCTGGCTTTTCAGTGCCTTGCTGCCCCTACCTGGTGTCACATCTCATGCCAAGCGCTGAGGACACCGCCCCTCAAATGAGAGTCTACTTTCAAGGACATCTTGGTCTGGGGTCTGCCGAGTAGGTAGCAGGTGTGGGCAGGACCCTGGGCTGGGAGACCTCTCACTCCAGCCCCACTCACAGGTGAGAAACCCTACGTCTGCCCGTACGAGGGCTGCAACAAGCGCTACTCCAACTCAAGTGACCGCTTCAAGCACACTCGCACCCACTACGTGGACAAGCCCTACTACTGCAAGATGCCCGGCTGCCACAAGCGCTACACGGACCCCAGCTCGCTGCGCAAGCACATCAAGGCCCACGGCCACTTCGTGTCCCACGAGCAGCAGGAGCTCCTACAACTGCGCCCGCCCCCCAAACCACCACTGCCCGCCCCCGACGGCAGCCCCTATGTCAGTGGGGCCCAGATCATCATCCCCAACCCCGCTGCCCTCTTTGGAGGCCCTGGCCTGCCCGGCCTGCCCTTGCCCCTGGGCCCCGGCCCCCTTGACCTCAGTGCTCTGGCCTGTGGCAATGGTGGGGGTGGGGGGAGTGGGGCGGGCATGGGCCATGACCTGCCAGGCCCTGTCCTTCCCCTCAATCTGGCCAAGAACCCACTGATGCCCTCACCCTTTGGGGTTGGTGGACTAGGCCTGCCTATGGTCTCCCTCCTGGCTGGCTCCACGGGTGGCAAGGCCGAGGGGGAGAAGGGGCGTGGGGCGGTGCCAGTCAGGGCCCTTGGTCTGGAGGGCCGTAAGACCCCCCTGGAGAGGACTGAGAGTGGCCGCTCCCGGCCCAGCCCGGAAGGACTCCCCCTGCTGCCCGGCACCGTGCTGGACCTGTCCACGGGCGTCAATTCGGCGGCCAGCAGCCCAGAGGCCCTGACCCCTGGCTGGGTGGTCATCCCGCCTGGCTCTGTGCTGCTCAAACCGGCTGTGGTGAATTGAACTCATCCCAGGGACAACTACCCGATGCTCACGACGAACAGAACCTTTTCTGCGAAATAGCAATAATGTCCTTCTGCCCCCGGGGCCTGGTTGGCTGTCCCCCCGGCAGCCCCAGCCCCAGACAAGCTGGGTGGCAAGGATGGTGCTAGGTCATTGCTGGGGTCCCAGGCTCCCAAGGGACCTTCTCCCACTGGCCAGGGAGACCTGAGCCCCTGGGTGCTGAGGCCTTGCTCACCTCCAGCCCTCAGTCTCCTGGCCCTGTCCACCCTGGTGCCTCCCTCACCCAGTGGCCAACCTGGACAGGTCACCCTCCCTCCCTCCCTCGTCACTTGCCAGCCACATCCCAGCAGTGGGGGCAGGTGGGGTGGCATCTACCCCCTGCCGGCCCAGGGCTTCTGCGCCCCTTCGTGTGGTAAGCTGTGACGAGGAGCCCTGGGATTGAGGCCCCTACTCATCCTGCCTAATTTCACCAGGCTCCTGCCCTGGGGGCTCCTTGGACCCCTCTCCCTCTGGCCCATCCTCCAGAGGGAGAGCAAGACAGACGCAGCCCCCTGCAAAGCCACAGGAAGAGCCATCTTATCCTTATGACAAGGTGCCTCCTGCTCAGAGAGGGAGGCCTGCTCTGCCCCCTGCCTCTCATCACCTACCTACTGTCCGAAGCAGCTTCTCTGGTCTGGACGGTGCTCTCCGAAATGAGGGAACAGCTGACCACTCAGCTGCCTCTTTACCACCGGCCTCCCCGATCTACCTTATAGGGAGCCTTGGAGTGTGGGGAAGGGAGGTGCCAGGGCCTCGGGCAGGCCTGGCTCAGGGAACAGGTGGGGTGGGCCTGGCCTGGGGCAATGTCCCTCTTGCACTTGGGGCTGCAGACACCTGCGGGTTGGTAGGAGGCTGGAAGCTGGCTGGGGATGACCCCAGGTTGGGACAGTCCTCATCTGGGGGTGCCAAGTCACAGCCAGCACACAGTAAGGGAGGGCTACAGGCCAGTGCTGGGCACAGGAGCTTCCCAGAGGCCATGGTCTGAGGCCTTGGGCGTGGGGGGATGGTGAAGCAGTCAAGACTGGCTATGGGAGGCCCAGCCCCTCCACCTGGGAGGGGAAAGTTGGTGGAAGCCTGGACTTATGACATGCTGTGTCCTTTGGATTCTTCCATCTGAGCCCCTGTCCTAGACATTTTTTAAATCCCAGAGGCCAGAATAAGCCAAGGATGCTGGTGTTCCAGGTGCCCGCTACCTGGCCTAGGGAACGGGCTTTCCCCACCCTGACCCTTCACTGTGCCAGTGCCTGGTCCTTGGCATCAGTGAGCAATCCTCCCCTTTCCCTGACAGAACAAGGGAGCTGCAGGACAGCAGTGGGGTCCTAGTAGCCCTGCGGTTCGAGCCCCCCTACTGTTCCTCAGCAGCTCTGCTGACCCCTCCCCTTTTCTGGACTGCCCTTCTGTCCTAGAGGGGTCACCCTGACCCAGCCTGCCCTGACAGGGCCTGGCAGTGCTGGCTCTGCCTCTCTAAGGGGCTGCGAGCAGAACAGGAAGGAGCTGGTCTCCTTCAGGCCCCACCCAGGACCCAGGCATCCCCACCCCACGAAGGGCCCCAGGCCTTTTAAGTCCCCAGTTGGGGGATGAGGGGTTTGGGTTTGCAACTGAAGCCCAGGGAGCAGAGGAACAGGGCACTGGAAGATGACATTAGCTCAGCATGTGACTCAGTGATAGACCAGGCTCAAGAGAGCTGGTATATGTGTTGTTGTTGGTTTGTTGTTGCACATTCCAGGATATCAGTATTTTAACAGGTTCTAAGTGCCTTTCTATCGTAGCTTATGTTTTTCCTCCTCTTGGCTCCACTGCTGTTAGCATAGAATAAATTTTAAAAAATGAAGAAAAAAAAAAAGATAAGCTAATGACTATAACAATATATTCCTCCATGTGAGAGGAATTTTATAAAGAAACAATAAAAGTGAGTTGCAAAGATGGTTTCTGTTGTGCCATGTTCCCGAAGCTGGGCCACCCAACAAGAAACCACTTCCAACTGTCCTGTGTCTGGCTCTAAGCTCACCCACAACAGCCTGCAGCACCTAGAGGCCACTCCGGGGCTTCCTCCTAACCCTGGGGGTGCCATCACCTCTCAACATTCTGCTGGGAGCTGGGAGGGTGGGAGGAGTCAGGTGCTGAGGAGCAGGAGTGCTAGGAGCTAAAAAGCAAGATTGTGGACAAAGCTCACAGGCTTAGCTGCTTGTCCTGAGAACCTGCTGGGCTCTGGTGAGGAGCTTAGCTCTTAGGAAGACCCAGCTCCAGGCCCCAGAGCAGAGGCTTCTCTTCCCCAGCTGTACATGGAACATTCTGCCCAAATCACTGAGATGCCAGAGTCAAGCTCAGCTGTGGAAAGCTGCTCTGTGACAGAGCTTGGGTGCCCAGGGCTCTGTCCCCAGGTGAGAAGGGCAGCGGCAGATCCAAGGATGGTCATACTATAGAAGGGACCTGGTGCTGGCACCGACAGCAGGAGTGGCTGTGTCCAGTACATAACAGTACTTGGCTAGCTCTCCACAGGCAGGCAGGGCCAGGTGGGTAGGCTGCCTGACTTCTTGCCAAACTTACCCACTCAGCCCCTTGCCCTTCTCCCACCAGCCCATGACTGGCAGGAAGAGCAGACTGAGAAATGCAGAAAAGACATTTATTAACGAGCTATAAATTAGAGGTGGAAGGGGGTGGGAGGAGCCAAGTGGTCACGTTTGTGGCCTCTTCTCTTTCTCTCTGTCCTCCTGGGCCTGGATTCGGAGCTCCTCCTCAAGGCGCTCCTTCGCTCGGACCACCTGGGGAAGGAGGTACAAACAGCTAGGAAGGGCGGCTGCACACGATGGTCCCATTCCAGCTGTGAGCCCCGGACAGCAGGAGGCAGTTCTGGTGCCTGGGGTGGGAAAGGTGGCCTGGGGACTTCCCCGTACAAGGAGACCGCCCAGGGCATGTGGATTGTCACATGGGATCTGAAGCTGCTTCTAGCAATCCACCAGCTAATGGTCCTCTTCCCTTCAAGTCATGGCTGTTGGGAGAGCCATTGTCCAGGCTGTTGCAGGGCTCAGTCTGACAGAACCCGACAGCCGAGGCAGCCAGAAGCCATGACAGTGAGGCTGGGGCACCAGGAAAAGGCCCGCACATCTTTCTCCTGCCAAGCTCTGAACTACCTGGAACATGGCTTGCCCTCCTCCCAGCAGCAAACACTACTCACCTTTGACTGCAGGTAGAAGGAGCCGCCCACAGATTTATCATTCACCTTGAAGAGGTGTTCGTACTTCTGCAGAGGAGGGGATACGGTGAGAGGTGTGCAGTCTCTGGGTTACAGAGGCGGGGGAAGCTAGGAGATGACAAAGAAGGAAAGCAAAAGGGCTCGATCCCGCTGCCCTGCATGCCTGAAACTCCACATAGGAAGCCACTACAACTACTAAGGGCAGAAAGGCGATCAGGTACCCACGGAGGGAGGGGTTTGGCTGCTATTGCCTCCCTTGGGCCTAAAAACTAACAAGGGACACTGGCTCCCACAAGTCGGATTCCCAGCTGGCTGTACCCAAAGTCTAGCCCAGCCCTTCATGCCAGACCTCCTTTACTTTTTCCCCACGTGGCTGGCCCGCCCTCACCCCCTCCCACTTTCTGGTCTGCTTGTCTCAGAGTCAGCCCCGTGGCCTCACCTTCTGGATCTCCTCGGGGTTCAGCTTGGAGACATTGAGAATCTGCTGTGCCTCCTGGAGGCTGAGGCCGGAGAGGTTAGAGGCGGCTGCAGACTGGTGTCCGGCACGTCCCCGGGCATCAGCTGCTGCCCGGCTGGCTGTGTAAACATGTGGGTTAGTGCTCAACCCTCAGCAGCCCAGAGCTCACCTGGTCTTCCATGTAGGTGGCTCACCCCTGCCAAGTGACACACGGAGTCAGAAGCAGCCAGAGGGCATTTCTCCAGGAGCGGTTTCTTTTTTGGGGGGAGGTAGTATTGGAGGGGTATCGAAGTGAGGACCAATTTGCTCCACTAGGGGTCAGGGTCTAGTCACCAAACCTGGAGCCTAATCCCCAGCCTAGACCACAAAAATTACCCTGTCCCTCTTTTCTCTCTTGCTCCCTCATCTGGGCACATAGAAAGCTGGGGATCTTTAGGCTAAGGGGAGCAGAGCGAAGTTATGGGGAAGGGGAGGCAGCAATAACTCTGCCCACTGGTTACCTAGGACACCAAAGCAGGCTGCTCCGGGGACCACTTCCTTTTCAATGACCCTAGATCAGAAGCCAGTACACTTTTACTGAAGGGACCTGAGAGCTCTGCAGGCCTATTGGTCCGTGTTGGACTCTGTCTTAAAAGCAGCCAGAGGGTGTAGCTTGTTCCAATAAAACTTTACCTACAAAAACAGATGGCTAGGGAGGCCAGTTTGCCAACTCCTGCCTGTATGCTCATGTCAACCAGGTCTCTCTCTATGGGAATGCCTCACAGTCCATCATTGCCCCCAACCATGGGAAATGCCCCAGGCTACCCAAGCTGCTAGAACCCCAACCCACAGAACTCCTGCATTCACAACTGGCCCAGCATGCGAGGGCTCGTTGCTATGGGGAAATCTGAGCTGGGCAGGAGCTCTCACCCTAGGGGATGGCAGGGGTCAAGCTTACCTGCAAATTCCTGCCGCAGGGCCCGGGCAAAGGCTCTGCCCACTACCTGCGCCCCCATCACAATGATCTGGGCCAGGTACTTGGCCTGTCGGCAAAGCAGGCATCTGGTTAGCGGGCTGCAGCCCCAAAGATGGCACCCTAGAAATGGCTGCTGAGTGGCCCCCAGAAAATTGAGGTAATAAAACACAGAACAGCAGCCACAGGCCTTTTTCTTTCTTTCTTTGCTGTGTTGTGTTGCATAGAGTTCACTTGAATAGTGTTGGGGAAATTAGAATGTCACCAGTAGAATGGAGGTTGGACCAGCTGGTCCCAGGAGCACAGAAAGTGCCCTCGTTGGCCTAGATGCCAAAGTGAGTTAGTGGTCAGTCTGGGACTGGCCCAGTTCTGGCTCCTGGCCACAGAATTATTCCTGAAGCCAGTGGCCTCTGTGCCCTGCAGCACAGATGCAGGGGCCCCTGTCCTTGGAGCTCCCACACCCATCAGGCCTTGCAGGGAAACCCTCCAAGGCAGTGCCACATGGCAGTGTTCACCCTGAGACCATATAGGTCCCCAGAAGCAAGTGGGGAGCCTCATTCAGCACGTGGCCAGAGGCATAGATGGGACCCAGGAATGAGATGGGGCTATTAGAAGACAATAGTGTTTCTACTGGGATGGGTTTTACAGGGCAGGTAGAATTATGATGGGAATACTGGGGCAAGAGGGACCAGGCAAGAGGGACTAGAGGCCAAAACTGGGAGAAAGCATAAGGAATGTCCTGGTAGCAGCAGCCAGGAGCCTAGGGGGCCAGGAAGGTGGCTGAGATGGGCAAATAAGATCTTACTGTGAACAGAGGTTACAGACAGCCTGCACATGTGAAAATGACTGTGTGTGTGTGAGACGCACAAACTTGGGTGTGTAGAAGACACCTGGAGAATGCTCACTCAGGTCAACACTGTTCATGGGGCACATGCCAGTGGTTTCCCTGTTCTTTGTACTTTTCTGTCTTTAGATTTCCTGTCAGTCAACAAGTATCATCTAAGCAAGAGTGACAGGCACCACGCCAAACACAGTTTATTGTGCTATTTATTTTATTATTTTTAACAAATATTTTTATTGATTTAAGAGACAAAGGGAGAGGGAGAGATAGAAATATCAATGATGAGAATCAGTTGCCTCCTGGCAATCCAGCCCGCAACCCAGCATGTGCCCTTGACTGGAAAGAAACCTGGGACCTTTCAGTCTGCAGGCCAGCGCTCTATCCACTGAGCCAAACCAGCTAAGGCTACTGTGCCATTTAACCCTAACAACTCAAGACACCGAGACATAAAAATGAACAACACAAAAAGAACAAAACAAAAAAAGACACTAAAGACAGTGGTATTTAAAGACCAGCCCAAGGACACACAGCTAGTACTCAGGGGAAGGTGGGCAAGGATCCCAAAGCCGGTGCTGTCAGCCATGGCATCCCTAGTTGCCGGTCTCACACAGAGTTCTGGGATCTCAGGAAGGGCGACAATGCAACCTGACAAGGAGCAAGGACCCCACCCAGAGGCCAGAGGGTCTTGTCAGATTCCAGTGGAATCCAGACTCCAGAACTGGCTTTGTTTGGCCTCCCTTGAACCTGCCCTTCCCTAGTAATTCTGGGCCGTAGTCAGGAATTAATAAATGGAAGTGGGTTTGGATTTCACGAGTGGGTGGAAATTTCATAAGCCCTGTATTTCACACCAGAAACCAAAGCACAGTGAAGACTCCTGTGAAGAGGGCTCCAGCCAGCTGCCTTGCAGGTGTCAAGACTAACAATGGACATGCTATTGATTGCAAAGCCTCACCTGACTCCCAACCCCACCTAAAGCCACTCTCAAGTGGGATGGGAGGCATTGCTGGTCCTGTCTGAGTGACAGAGAGACTGACAGGCCACTAGGTGACTCCAGAGATTTTCCTTGGCCTGGCACCTTCAACCTTCAGAACATATCTTCCTTTGCTGCCACAGGCCTGAGTACCACACCACTGTATCACCTTGTTCTCTGCTCAGGGTAGTAACTGTTGCTAAAAAAATGAATGTTAAGAACAATGCTATAATGGGCAATTCCCCAAACATCCCCTATAGACACCATCCCCTATGCTTCAAACCAAAGTGGCATGGTGGCTCCTGGTTCCAGCTGCCAGAGCTCTCTGGCTGCGGGGAAGGCTGGGCTGTTCTGCAGTTTCCCAGTAGCTAAGGAAGCTGCCTGAATTAAGACTACAAG